CCCCCCCCCCCCCAGCCCTGTGGCTGGAGGGAACAGACTTATCTGGAAGGCTCTTTGGCCTGTGCCATTGGTGGTTCTACTGGGAGGCTTCTACAGACCTCCGTCTGGGAGATACGGGAGGCAGCGAGGAAATTAGGAGCTCCCATGTCGTTCCTCCAGTCCTGAGGCATCTGCCTCCTTATTTCCCCTTTTCTGAGCCCTCCTATGCTCATCTATTGTGTTACGTTCAGGATTTCTCAGGTGCAGGAAAGAGGGCTTAGGGGAAATGGGGTTACTGCATCCTGAAGAGAATCCCTTTTGTATATAATATAGCCTTTTATATCGGTTTTGGAAAGCACTCCGTAGGCATTGGAAAAGAAAGTTCATCCTTCAAAAACAAAGCAAAATTCAAATCCACTAAGGAAATAGTGCTAATGACATTTATCAAGTTCTTTCTAACTTTTTCTCTGACTTAGAGTTGTTCTTAAAAATATTCCATCACAGGGGCTCCTGGGTGGCTCAGTCGGTTGGGCGACCGACTTCGGCTCAGGTCACGATCTCGCGGTCCGTGAGTTCGAGCCCCGGGTCGGGCTCTGGGCTGACGGCTCAGAGCCTGGAGCCTGTTTCGGATTCTGTGTCTCCCTCTCTCTGCTCCTCCCCCGTTCATGCTCTGTCTCTCTCTGTCCCAAAAATAAACGTTAAAAAAAATATATTCCATTACTACTTGTGGCAGTATATATTGATATCTCTAATGATTTTAACGTATTTTGCTGTAGCATTATTTGATGTCTGCAAGCTCATTATTATTTAGTCTTTATTATGACTTATTGTGAGTATAAAATGACTTTCTGGATGTTGCTTCCGATGAATTCTGTACTTTTTTAATGATATTTTGACTCCTGCCTTCTTAGACCCTTCTTTTAACCATTCTAGTTCATTCTGTTTATCTTTTGTGATTACATTTTATTTCTTCATTGACATCTGAGAATTTTTCTCTCTTAAGAGGAAATTTACTCCAACTTCGTTTTGTGTTAGGACTGGTAATTTGGGGGTGGCCTCTGGCATCTTGTTATTTTTTTTATTTTTCCATTTATTTATTTTTTGAGAGACAGAGAGAGAGCATAAGTTGGGGAGGGGCAAAAGAGGAGGAGACACAGAATCCGAAGCAGGCTGCAGGCTCCGAGCTGTCAGCACAGAGCCCGACGCGGGGCTCGAACTCAAACCATGAGATCATAACCTGAGCTGAAGTCGGATGCTTAACCAACTGAGCCACCCAGGCGCTCCTGGCATCTTGCTATTAAAAAATGGCCAGTGGCATTTTTTTATTCTCTGCAATGGAATGTGGGGGGAGGGGTTTGAGCCCCCTTCCGGAAATCCCTCAGTTACAATCTCAGGACCGTTGTGAATCATGATGGGACCAAGGAGGCTGAACACTTCCTTCCCCAGAGGGACTGAGCGACCAAAGACTGGCTTGTTGTTCATACTTTTCTAAGGAATCTGCTCTGATTTTAACCTTGTCATCCGGGGGGTAGTTAGGTTCCAGGAAAATGACTCTGACTCATTATAAAAGGGGTGAATTCAGGATAGAGTTGTTCTTATGGTCCTTGATCAAAGCGACGTTAGTAAACTTGTTACTTACGTGACTCTCATTACGCTTTCTTGCAGGTAAGGATTTTAACTATTCAAGCTCAGAATTTGTTGATGGATTTTTAAAATATGGATTTAACGCCATTCTCAGTAAAAGCTTGGGCAGTGAGAGAGAAGTGCCAGATACCAGAAATAAAAAGTATGTTTCTCCTGATTTTTTATTGAGGTATAGTTGAAAAATAAGATTATATTCGTTTCAAGTGTGCAACATAATGATTTGATATTTACATATATTGCAAAATAGTCGCCACAATAAGGCTAGTTAACATTGGCCACCATACATACCTACCAAAAATATTTGCATGTGTGATGAGGAATTTTAAGATCTATTCTCTCTGCTACTTTCAAATATGCAGCATAGTATTATTAACTATAGTTACCATATAGACATTATATCCCCAAGATGCATTTATTTTATTTTATTCTATTAAAAAAAATTTTTTTAAACGTTTATTTATTTGTGAGACAGAGAGAGACAGAGCATGGACGGGGGAGGGTCAGAGAGAGAGGGAGACACAGAATGGGAAGCAGGCTCCAGGCTCTGAGCTGTCAGCACAGAGCCCGACCGATCGTGACCTGAGCTGAAGTCGGATGCTTAACCGACTGAGCCACCCAGGCGCCCCACGATGCATTTATTTTATAATGGAGCTTTGTTTTGTCCATCCCCTTCCTCTGGCAACCACCAGTTTGTTCTCTGTATTTATAAGCTTGGGTTGGGGATGTTTGGTTGGTTGGTTGTTTTTTAGATTCCACATATAAGTGAGATCATATGGTATTTATCTCTCTCTGACTTATTACATTTAGTGTAATGCCCTCAAGGTCCATCCATGTTCTTGCAAATGACAAGATTCTATTCTTTTTTTATGTTGAATAACATTCCATTGTGTATATGACACTGCATTCTTGATCCATTCAATCACTGATGGACGGTTAGGTTGTTTCTGTGTCTCAGCTATTGTAAATGATGCTGCAGTGAACTTGGGGTGCGTATGTCTTTATGAGTTAGCGCTTTCATTTTCTGCAGGTAAATACCTGCCAGTGAAATTGTTGGATCATATGTTAGCTTTCTTTTGAATTTTTTGAGGAACTTCCATGCTGTTTTCCATTTTGGCCACACCAATTTCCATTCCCACCAACAGTGCATCAGGGTTGGCTCTTCTCCACATCCTCTTCAACACTTGTTATTTCTTGTCTTTTTGAGAATAGCCATTCTGACAGGTGCGAGATGATATCTCGTTGTGGTTTTGATTTGCATTTCCTGATTATTAGTGACACTGAGTACTTTTTCATGTACCTGTTGGCCATCGTATGCCTTTGGAAAAATAGCTATTCAGATTTTTCTGCCCATTTTTAAAAAAAATTTTGTTATTGATTATTTATTCTTTGAGAGACAGACAGAGGAACAGTGCGTGAGCAGGGGAGGGGCAGAGGGAGGGAGACACAGAATCCGAAGCAG